AAACCTGAGGTTCCAGGCTCAGCAATGAGTCCAGGATCACACCCAAGCTGTGAACCTGCGCCTTCAGGGAGAGTGTAACCCTGTCCAGCATAGGCCTCTACCATTTCACACACATAAGTTCAATGTATTGGCAGTCACTGGTTGGTGATATGATTACATCTTCACAGCACCTATGAAGCCATAAGCAGCTCAGGTCTAAGTTATCTGAAGGACTCTGTGGGTAGCTGATATGTTCTATGTAGTCCCTTCTCTCTGTCACCTCACAGCTACAACTGAAAGTACATAGGACAGGACCTTCTCAGTAGTGGCCCCAAGGCCTGGAACTCCCTTTTTAGAGAAGCTAGACTGGCACATTTCTTGCTATCGTTGTCTAGCAGGTGAAGATTTTTTATTTGTCTGTTTCAGCAGGTCTTTAAAATATGACTGCTTGGCAGAAGGCACAATATAAGATATGGGCTATTTGTTCTTTTTTGTTTAATGACTATATTTTAGCTGGTTTTAATTTTATTAATACTTGAATTAGATGGATAAATTTGTATGATTTAAATGTATCTTCTCCTTCTTATTCCTCCTCCTCCTCCCTTCCCCTTCCCCTCTGCCATACATGATTGCAGTTGTCACATCTCAGCCACACAATAAACTTGATTACAACCAGGTGCTTCATTTGTATTCATTAAAAATAGATTCTGAACAAGTGAGTGCTTTATTCTCCCCAAAATAGGGCTTCCCTACCCAGTTGTGCACATCAATAGCAATTATGTGACTTTGCAGCAAGATGGCTACCAGCAGGAGACTCTTAAAAGTGCCAAATGACATTTTCAGACACATTTCATGGTGAGAATTGTTTCTTCTCTTGTCAGATTAGAGACAAAGTCCTTTCACTTTTCTTTCAATATGAACTTAAAACCCTCGGTTTTCCAAACTGAGGTCTGCTTTTTTATTGTGTAAAAATAAAGGCTATGAAAGTCAGTTTTCTGTTTCATCCTGCCTAAAGCATTAGATTTGTTTTGGAGAAGAAAAATCCCATCCTAGTCTCATGATATATATTCATCTCCACTTTTGTCTGCAGTGGCACAAATCCTCTACTGCTGAAATAAAACCCAGCACGCGTCTGTTACTCAGGATGTTGCAAACTAGGCTTGTGACCTCATAACTGTTTGGTATTCATGTTGATGATTGCCATGACCACAAATGCCCACCTTGAAATGCAGGCAGTCATATTGAAGGAGGGAGTTTTATAGTGCTGTTGAGCAGGTGCTGAAGGATGATATGTCTATGGGATGAATGTGGCATCCTTCAGTGTCCCACCTTTCAGCATCACAAAGCTCGTATCTCAGCATGACTTTTAAGGTCAGGTTATGGAGTTGAATTGGAAGATGGGAGGATTGCTATGAAACTGTAGTTACCTCTGTGATGCAGGATCTTTCACATGTCAACATAAAAAACCTGAACTCACCTTGAGTTGGATCTAGGCTGTCTTCATGGTGTTCCTGAACTTCCATTAAGTATCATGGGTTATACCAGGTTTAACCGGCTTTGCTGTGCTTCAGGCATGGTCAAGGAATGTGCTGCAATATACTCCACAGCATCCCATGGCTTGGAGCAGTGTAGACAGCTGTATCTGCTCTAATTTGGACTCATCCACTGTCCACACAGGACACCATAACCACCATCTTTTCCTGGTGTTTATCAGCACACAGAAAAGGAGATGGACCATGTCTGTGTCACTGCCATTGCTGCTCCTGGATGACTGTGTGAGCTTCTGGCCATTAGGGGCATCTTGTTCTGACATTAGGAGAGATGACCACATAACTATAAAAGAAAGAAGGGAGATTAACATGGACCTCTGCCACTGTCTGGGAGTGGTAGCAGTGACACAGATATTAAAGCAACAATCTATCAGAGCTGATGTAGTCTCCACAAGCTGGAACATGTGGATGCCAACTCACCATTGCAGTGAGCTCCATAAGATGCATATGGCCACTTCCAGATTTACCAGCCAGTGTAGATACATTCTTGGATCCTATTTTTAAAAATCTTTCCACATTTTTCAGATCCCAAACTCTGATCCTCCTTGTACAATGCATTCTACAAAACTGTTACACCAGGTGGTACAGAAATGGTTATGTAAGCTATCCCACAAGGTATTCCATAAACCATTCCACAGGAATTGAATAACCCATTACAATTTCATTAAGTCAGGTTTCACTTGCAGTAGTTGTCCTCATTTTTCCACTAGTAGTTGTGCAACTGCAACAAAAATAAAATCATCTCTTGTGTTTCCTCCAACATAACATTGGGTACAATACTCACAGAATAAGCAGGTGGAGACTCATTAGAAGGCAGCACCACGTTTATGTATATTTTCCCTAGATATCTTCCCCAGGTAGGAATAGGAGGGACTCTCACTTTTACTACTTTTATTACTGGTGAAGTTAATTCTTAAAAGTTTTTTATGGCTGATCTCAGCCCTGGATCTTCCTACTTGTTCTAATTTAATTTGTGTTTGCTTTGTTTCTCTGAGCAACTGTTTAAGATGTTTTGTTTTTTTATTCTGCTGTTTATATGAATTTTTAAAAAATGAAAATAACTTTGAATGTTTGATATGGAATAGAAGCATATAAATAATTCATATAAGCAAATAATGTGGGAAATCTTTAGATCAAGTTTGCACACAAAATATATGTTAATACAGAACAGAATGTGAAGGAATTTATTTTATCAAATGTATTGTCTTCCTAATCAAGTTAGGGTTTTTTTTTCAAAGAATAAATAGGCTCTTATTGTTACCTACATATCCTCATAATCTCTCACCACTTTACACTTTGTTTCTAGGGGTAGTTTTTTTTATTTGTGAGATCTCCATATTATTTATAACTGTTTTCATTTTACAGTGACACAGCCCTCTGGGGTGTCGTGTCGTTTCCGGGCTGTATGGCTGTGTTCAAGCAGCATTTTCTTGTGATTTTTGCCTGCATCTATTTATTTATTTATTTATTTATTTACTTCATTTGTTGACCGCCGCTCTCAGCCCTGGGGCGACTCGCGGCGGTGTACAACATATAAAAACAGTCTACAAAAAGCACACAATATATCAACAACACCATATTACACATTACTATAAATCACCCTAACAAATCCGCACCGTCACAACATAGAATCATAGCCAGTCTCATAATCCATAATCCGTTCCAGTTGTCATTACCAGGTTCGTGTAGCTCTCAATTAAATGCCTTCTCGAATAGCCAGGTCTTTAGGCTCTTACGGAAAGCCATAAGGGAGGGCGCCTGTCTGATGTCAACAGGGAGGGCGTTCCACAGCCGGGGGGCCACCACTGAGAAGGCCCTCTCTCTCGTCCCCGCCAGACGTGCCTGTGAGGCAGGCGGGATCGAGAGAAGGGCCTCCCCAGACGATCTCAAGGCCCTCGTGGGCTCATAGGCCGAGATGCGGTCTGAAAGGTATTTTGGGCCGGAACCGTTTAGGGCTTTGTAGGATAACACCAGCACCTTAAATTGGGCCCGGTAGCAGATCGGCAGCCAGTGAAGCTGGGACAACAAGGGCGTTGTATGCTCCCTGCGTCCCGCTCCCGTTAGCAACATGGCTGCCGCGCGCTGAACTAGCTGAAGCTTCCGGGCCGTCTTCAAGGGCAGCCCCACGTAGAGAGTGTTGCAGTAGTCAAGACGGGATGTGACCAGAGCGTGTACCACCATGGCCAAGTCAGACTTCCCAAGATACGGGCGCAGCTGGCGCACGAGCCGAAGCTGTGCAAATGCTCCCCTGGTCACCCCTGAAACCTGGGGATCCAGGCTCAAAGATGAATCCAGGGTCACACCCAAGCTGCGAACCTGCGCCTTCAAGGGGAGTGCGACCCCGTCCAGCACAGGCTGTAACCCTATACCCTGTTCGGCCTTGCGACTGACTGACTGACTGATCTATGGCTGACATCTTCAGAGGATCATGCAAAAGAAGGATCCTCTGAAGATGCCACCCACAGATGCAGGTGAAATGTCAGGAGAAAATGTTGGTAAAACAGCCCAGAAACCACACAACCCCTTCGTGATTCTGGCAGTGAAAGCCTTTGACAATACAGCCCGCTGTTTCTATGGATTCTGTTTCGACAGATTCAGCCGTCCTCACTATCCACAGCCCTGGAATTAAACTGCAATGCATACCAAGACTTATCAGACTGATTGTTCTTAAAGCGTTTTTGCGTGATGCCCAGTGGAATCTGCTTAGTTTGTTGATATTGATTAATACACCCCTTTGTCAATGATGTTGACACTTGTGAACCTACTAATATTCCAACCAAAGGCTTAAATACTTTGAAGGCCCCAGATCCTCTTTGGTTTTGATGCTAAGTAAGCTTAGTTCTGGCTTTAACTTGGAGGGGAGACCGTCAAAGAATACCAGATGATACAGACTATATTGCAGATGAAGAAAATCATAAACCATGTCTGAGTACTCCTTGACTGGGAAAAGCTCATGAAATTAATGGGGTCACCATGAGTCCAAGTCAAATGGATGACAATTAATAATAACTATGCAATTGAATATAAAAAACAGGGGTGCTTTCTCATGTGTTGGACTACAAGCCCAAGATTCTCCCCAGCATAGGTGGTTGGGGATTTTGAGAATTATTACCCAACCTCTATGGATAGTTTATGAATATTTGTTGTGTGGCGTGGGGAATGAAACAAATGTGGAAGGCTGATCAATATAATACCAGTGTTATAATGGCGTTTTCTAACCCAGACACGGTTTTTATAACAGGAATGGTAATAGAGCCCCATATATCTGGATTACCAGTGCCTTTTTATAGAATTACAAGAGGCTCCCTTAATGAGCTGATTCTGCAGTTTGCTAAAAGGTTTGATCTTCTAGTGCATTAACATCATTTGGTCTGTTTACACTGATCTGTAGCTAGGTGCTCTAACACTTCTTAAGCTTAGGTGAAATTTCATGTTAGCTGTATTTTTTTCTTTTTACTTGTTATTTCCCAGAATGCAGAAACAGCAAGAACGGTGTCAGATATTTACAGCTGTCCTCTTCGCATTTATTTTCCTGCTCGCAGCTGTGAGCACTACTGAGGCTGGCAAAAAAGAAAAACCAGGTAACAGTGCTATTAATTCTATTACAAGATATTTATAAAGACTGAAAAAGACTTACTTCTCTTTCCATGGCCTTTCTACACCTGAAAAAATCCTTATTCACAATAAAACAGAAGTTGTAATTTCTGTTTCCGGCCATTTGTAACCAGTTTTGTGTATTGTGTTACATGACTTTGGCTACTTTGTCACACTAGAGAATGGATCTACTTTAAATCCGGTTACTGCCTCCTGCAGAATTCTGGGGTTTGTAGTTTAGGGAGGAGCCTTTAACAGCCTCCCTAAACTACAAACCCTAGGATTCTGCAGGAGGCAGAAACCAGATTTAAAGTGGATGTGATGAGGTAGCAATTAGAGAATTCCAGGGATGGCTTCTCACCATTTGGGAGCAAAAGGAGTCATTTGGGGTTCAGGGAGAACCTGGTGGGTGAGTGGGGGGGGGGAGTCTGAAGGAAAACAAAAACCCTCAGAGAACCACACACAGGACAATGGCTGTAATTCCTTCTTCCCCACTTTACAGTCAGGCATGACTAGCCATATGCCACCCAAACAAGAGTTCAACCTGGCATAAGAGTTTGACATTGTTAAAAGACAATGTGCCACACAGGTATAATATAAAATTTAAGCCTTCAAGGGAATAGCTGCTTTTATGTACACCTATCTGGGAATAAGTTCATTCAAACTCAACAGGTGTTAATTACAGATAGATTTGATAGTTAACACCTAATAGGATTATAATCACTGCATCAGACGCTCTCTCCATCAATATCAAGAAAGACCCAAAACTGAATTTTTACAGTTAAAATATCTTCACTGCAGTGGATGCCATTAGAAAACTCAAATCTATAATGAGCCAATATACCTCCAGAATCCAGGCTTGGTCCATTATTGCCCTACCAATTAGAGTCACTCCTAAAGTTATAGGAGGAAAATATATTTAGAAATCCTTTCATTTTAATTAATGTAAATGTTCAATATGGCCACTATAACATCTCAGGTATCAGAATTCATGGAAGAGGGAGTTTTCTTTGAAATCTGTCATAACTGTTAGGATGAGCACAATACATTAGAATTATGCGATCTAGAGATCTTCATACATAATGTACTGCTGCTGACCTGAGGAAATTACCCCAAAGGTCCTTTGCAAAAGATATATCTATTTTGAGAATTTGCTGTCAACAGCTATGTTTTTGAGGAAAGACTGAATTTCATAAATGTTTGGGCTAGGGACATTTCCAGAACCTGTACTGATAACACAGAGCATTTATATGCTAACCAGAGAACTGATACTCACCTCAGATCCACTACTGTCTCTCTCCAAGATGCACAAGGACCTCCAGGTAATATCCTGGGTTTTCTGGCTTTAACCTGACCAGGCAAAGTTTTCAGGAAACTCTGGAGTACCATGGGGCTTCACAACAGTCTAGACAGCTGGAATGAGTCCATTTTGATCCAATCCTCTGTCAACATGACCACCATCCCCCTTTCCCTTCACTGGTCATGCAAGTGCCGCGTTCTGACATCAGCAATAGGAATCATGTTTGTTCACATGACCCATGCTAAGAATCAAAATCTACTAAATTGGTTTGGACTCATTTAAGGATGGTCAAACCACACAGAGCAACAGACTGGCAGTACGGTGGAGTTTTAAGGTACATGAAAACTTGCTTTGTGCCTAGTTCAAATCCATAAATCCAAATAGAAAGGTTTTGCTACGTAAGTTGATTCATTCTGTCTACTCCCATGAGTTAAATTCAACAGATGTAAGAATGGCAAGAGAGTTATGCTTTAATATGAAATACAGAAAAACTATTACCTTTTTTGACAAAGAGTCTGGAGACCTGCTGGAGTGACAAAATGCCAATATTGTGTTTTATTGCAAATGGCTGTGGAGGAATAAGAAAAGTTGAAACTGACAGCTATAGCAGGAATGTAACTCTTACTCTTTTTTTTTCCTATATGGGGGATTGAAAAATCTGAAATGTTTTCCTTCCACCCGATGAGATTAGGAAAGATGTACTTTTTCTTTTGCTGACTATTCAGATTTCAAGGCTTTGTGACAAAAAATGTATTTACATAAAAACTTTGCAATTTGCAAAGCATTGTATTTCCTTCAGAATATGTTTTTGTGTAAAAGCATTGCAATTTATGCAAAATGCATTTTATGTGCAAGCAAACAAACAAACATAATAAGAAACCAGAAAAATAATTCTTCTTTTCTTGCTCATGGACAAAGCAAAATGCAGCAATTGATTTCTCTTTTTTTTTTTTTGGTGGGGGGGAGGGTTTTTTATAGAATAGTGTAGTGGTTTGAGCCATTAGACTATGCTGGAGATAACAGTTCAATTCCCCACTTGGCAATAAAAACCTACTGGGTGATTCTAGGTAGGTCAACTCCAGAAAACCCTTTGATAGGGTCACCTTAGGGTTATCATAAATTGAAAATGACTTGAAGACACACAACAACAACAAAGCATTTATTTTTGGATGGGATTCAGGGAGCATTTTTCTATCCCTTTGAACTCATCCAAAGCTAGAATGACCCCACTTTATTGCTCTTATCCTTAATGCTGCTACATGACCTGTGCACTTTACCCACCAGCCCTATCCTCTGAACTACGATGCACCAGTCCACCCTCCCATATTGAGACTTGAATTATACCATTGTTGTTGGTTTCGATGCTTGTTTTATATATTGTAATAGTGTTGTTTTAGTGCTGTTTTAAATTAATATCATGCATTTTAATGTGTTATATTTTAAACATTGTTGATTGGGCTTGGCCCCATGTAAGCCGCCCTGAGCCCTTTCGGGAAGATGGAGGCAGGGTATAAAAATAAAGTTATTATTTATTATTATCAGTACACCAAGCCTCCCACCCCAGTAGTCATTAAGCACCACATGTTTGCCAGTGAGGAAGGGAGTGAGTGAGGAAATGTTGAGATGATGATGCTAATGCTGATCTAGATTGTGGGGGAAAGGAGGGTGCCTTTCATCTGTGAGTACATTCTTCATCATGTAAACCGGCTTTCTAATTCTGCCCACTGTTAAGCAGCAATAGTGGTTTTACAGTGACAGAGATAAGGAGAAGGCATAGGTAAAGTAATGCATTTTACCTTCTTGGTGTAAGATCTTGTCCATTGTAGAAAAGACACAGCACTAAATATTTATATATCAGTTATAAAAATGATCAAAGAACAGTTTGGGGCCCTGACTAGCTGGGGAACCTATGCCTTGCTCAGAAGTCTTCAAAATGTTTTCCTTGAGTTTAATATAAAAATTTGGGGGTGGGGGATGAGAATGGGAAACAAATATTTGATGGTTGGATTTCCATTAAGGCAAAGGATCCAATCTGATCTTGGAAGCTTATCAGGATCTGCCTTGGTTAGTACTTGGATGGGAAACTGCCAATGAATACCAAATGCCGTAGGCTATATTTCAGAGGAAGGAACTGGCAAAGCCATTTCTGATAATTATATGAAATACATAGGTTCATCATAAGTCAACAGGTGACTTGAAAACAGACACACCCAGTACCTGTCTCCTTTTGGCATAAGGGCATTAATCACAATAGGTGCCTCCATCCAATTTCCAAGGATCTCCAGAAATGTAGTTCAACAGGGCCCCCAATGTTCCATCTAACATTTGCAATGAGCTAGAGGGGTAGCCCCCTTCCACCCCCTTGTTTACATTCATATGCCTAAATCTGGGTCCAACCCAAATGTTTCCTGCCCTTCTCATTTTTCTACAAAATTTTAGCCAGGAGTTGATAAAATCTAAAACAGGGAGAATATTTTAGACTCTGTTTTTGTTAGGCAATCTCACCGCACCACAGCTACATCCTGCTTGCAAATGGACTAATGGTATTCTTTTGCTTGCAGATGGGCTAATGGGATTCCAAAATCCTAAGAACTGTAGCTGTCACTATTCTTACAGTACTCATGGGCTTATGCTGTCAGCAGAGGAGTTTTTGTTGTTGCTTTTGCTAATAATGTGTTCACTGTCAAAAGTTATAATGTAAAACAAAGGTAATGAATATTTACTGCTTTGTCCCCAAGAGATCATTTTCCCTACTACCTTACATTTTGTGCATGCAGAGCATTTATCAAGGACTTTTCATTGTCTGCATAACTTTATGTTCTCTGGATTTTTCTTGTGATTCTTTCCAGAGAAGAAGTTGAAGAAATCTGACTGCATAACTTTATGTTCTCTGGATTTTTCTTGTGATTCTTTCCAGAGAAGAAGTTGAAGAAATCTGACTGTGGAGAATGGCAGTGGAGTGTATGTGTCCCTACTACTGGAGACTGTGGGCTAGGGACCCGTGAGGGCACTCGGAGTGGAGTTGATTGTAAGCAGACAATGAAAACACAGAGGTGTAAGATCCCTTGCAATTGGAAGAAGCAATTTGGAGGTAAGGTTGTCTGGATCTAGGTTGACTATTTCACTTAGAAGTAGAATTGTAACTGGTAATGATTTAACTTCCTAGGTCCCACAGTTGAAGACTATAAAATACTACTGAAATATTAATCAGACAACACTAGGCCTTCCATTTTGGGAGAGAGGGATTTAGGGGCATAGGATCCCTGTGACAGTGGAACAAATAAAAGAAAGCTTTTTTAAAAAACTTGAGAGAATATATTTCTAGGAATCTCTAGGTTCTCCTCGGTGATTCTATGGTCAATTTTCTCAAGGAATCTCTAGGTTCTACAGCAAAAGTTGATCATGGAGTCACCCTGGAAAATCTTGAGATTCCTTAAAAGAACATATTCACCAAGTTCATGAATAATAGAATTTGTAAAAGTTAAACTCACAAATGCAGAGGCTTGCATACGTGTACATATACAGTAAAACAATGAGTCATCCTAATCCTCCTTGAGCAAAAAACATACTACTCACCAATTGTCTTTCCAGTTTCTTCTACTTCTCCCAAAAATCACAACATGCATAGAAATGCTGAGAGTGAGTTGGGGTACTAGCTGGAAATGGCTGCCCAGGTTCAAAAGCCATTTAATGCTTAAACATTAGTGTTCCTTGCCACGATGTTAATTTCTCTAACTAGAGATACAGGGAGATGAAACCTGTCACCCCTATGGACCTTCTATCCATGAATACTACTTAGAATCCATTTCTTTGGTAAACAATGGAACCCTATACATGTTGACTCGATTGAGTATGGCTTATGCCCTGGAAAGTGGATGTAGGATTGCTTCCTTAAAGTCTTATTGACTTCACAGAATGGTAGATGGAGGAGATCACAAGGGCTTGAGGTCATATTTCCAGTGATATTACAACATCCCAGTGAGTTTTGAAGTTTTGAAGCTCTGTTAGTCTCTCTAGGAGCTGAAGAAGTGATCAGAGCAAAAGCAAAAAGATGGTCATGTCAGGCTGAGTGGGTTAATTAGCTCATCAAAGTCTCCAGGACAAAGGGAAATGTTGAACAACAGGGAGTCTCTAGGATGAGACAGCTAAAAGGTACAGCAAGGGTAAAATGATAATTAGAAGCAACATTCTGTTGCCTTTATTTGCTGAAGTTATCAGCATGTGATCCTATTAAAGCAGGCATTTGTCTTCTGTCCTGATTACACTTCATGGATCTCTTAGTTACTGTGGGATACAACATTGGGGAAAAGCTGGTGAAAATGATATTCCTAGTAAGTGCATTGCCAGATAATAAATTCAGCTTCACATCCATGTCTTTAAAAGAAAAAAAAATGGTATAATATTACATTTTAAGTAGCTTACAGATGAACATTGAACATATGGTGCATGGAAGAGGGTAGAGAAAAGGTTCACACCAAGGTTCGAAGTCTGGCTCTTCAGTCTTTTCAAGAGCATTTGATGTGGTTATTTTTAATACTTCACAGGGACTAATGTACTAAGAGCAGCTAAGGAATAATGACATGTTGTCTGACACTTCAGGAATAGCCTTTCCCAAATGGCATTCTGACTGTAGGGGAAGAACATCAAGGGAAATGATGTCCCACTTCAGACAAAGTTAGGGGATACTGTGGAGTTTTCTTGAGACTACAGAGGATCCCACAGATTTGGGTCAGTGTGGACATTTGGATTAAGTCTGATTTGTCTGCTGTCCACATAGGGCACTGTCGCCATTACCCTTTCCATGTGTTGATGTGGACAAATAGTGCTGATGCCATTGCTGCTGCTTTTCGTAACCAGTCGCACAGCTCTATGCAAGTTCCTGCTCACTGCATGCACTCTATTCTGACATCAGCAAAGACACTGGTGTAACTAAGAAGGAAGCGGGATTGGTCCTCTCATTCTTTATGGTCATGTTAGTGCCTCTGCTGATGTCAAACAGGTGCCTGCGTTGGCCAGGATCTCACTCAAAGTTTAGTGATGTTAACATGGAAGGTAAGGTGACAGTCCAGTAGGACAGATAATGTCTTGGCCCAGCCAGGCCATGTGAATGCCAACTCTGAGCCACAGTTGGTTTTGCAGGATGGTTGTGATTTTCTCAATTGCCAGTCTGGAGCATCTCAGCCAGTGTAGTTCTGCCCATATTCTGTAAATTGTGTGGGTTCTGTAGATTATATATTATACATATTTGCAGTGCAGTTGGCTCTCCATATTAATGGATTCCGTATCCATGGATTCAACCATCCATGGCATGAAAATATTAAAATAACATCCCAAAAGAAAACTTCTTATTTGCCCGTTTATATAAGGGACATCATTTTGGTATGCCACTGTATATAAACAGATTCGAGGATCCATAGCCTTTGGCATTTGCAGAGATCCTGGAATCAAACTCTAGATACCAAGGACCCACTGTAATGTTAAGTAACAATTTTAAACTCCTTTTTCAGTTCCTGGTAATAAAATGCTATATGCTCACCTCTGCTTTGCAGCGGAATGTAAATACCAATTCCAGGCATGGGGAGAGTGTGACCTAAACACTGCCTTGAAGACTCGAACTGGGAATCTAAAGCGAGCTCTACACAATGCGGACTGCCAGAAGACTGTCACCATCTCAAAACCCTGCGGAAAGCTTACCAAACCCAAACCTCAAGGTAACCTTGCTTTGGAATTCATTGCTGGGAGCTCTATCCTAGCATGGCTCTAAAGTATGTTCAAATCCTTGTCTTGTCAGAAAAAATACCATGATCTTAATTAGTACATGGGACTTCTATGGTCTATAGCTTAATTCTCAGCATCTCTCATTAATGGATGTAAAATAGGGGAAGAAGGAGGTCTGATGACTTGCTGCCAGTCAAAGTAGATAATAATTGATCTAAATTGCCAGCAACATAAAAAGGTCTACATTACAGTGGAGCAGATTAAAGTCTTGCTTATTCCATCATTCTGTTCCCTTAATGGTTCCATTAACTAGGAAGTCCAGCATGAAGATAATAATACCAAAAGGCATGTGCTTCACATCATTTGATAGACACAATGCTGCTGATATTTAAATGACAGAGTTGGAAGAGACCACAAGTGCCATCTAGTCCAACCCACAGCTATGCAGGAAATAAAATCATGGAATCATGTTGTTGGAAGAGGCTACCTTTGAGGCAATATAAAACCATTATGACTTGGACCTATTGATGGCCCATCACTAGGTCTTCTGGTGATGAATTCTTTGTATTGTATGAAGTAGTGCTTCCTTTTACCTATCCTGCTATTGATTACTGAGCTTTGATTGCTGCCAACTGAAGACAAGAGTTTCTCTTTCTTATTTTTTAAAAGCTAAATATTATAACTGTTTCTCAGAAGTGACTTTGATCATTCTTTGTTTGAATGGAATGGAAAAACATCTATTATTCAGGATCTAATCCTTGAAGAACATGCTGACCTGGCTTGTATAACGGAGACCTGGTTGGATGAGGCTGGGGGGTTAATCCCTCCCAGCTTTGTCCACCAGGCTACTCCGTTCAGCACCAGTCAAGATCTGGAGGGCGGGGAGGGGGTGTCACAATTGTCTATAAGGATACCATCCCCCTGACCAGGCGCCCCATCCCACCGTCTACCACATTTGAGTGTGTCGGCCTGAGAGTCGGTGACAGGGACAGGATAGGGATTCTGTTGGTGTACCAACCACCCTGCTGCACTACAGTCTCCCTACCCGAGCTAGCCGGAGTGGTCTCTGGCCTGGCCTTGGAGTCCCAATGGCTCATTATGGTGGGGCGGCACTGTCAGGAGCGGCTCAGGACTTCATGTCAGGCATGGCAACCATGGGCCTGTCCCAATTAGTATCTGGTCCCACCCACAGTGCTGGACACACGCTGGATCTGGTCTTCTGCCAGGGATGGGAAGAAGGTGGCGGGATGGAGGAGCTGACCATCACTCTGTTGCAATGGACTGACCACCACCTGATCAGGTTTAGACTTATTACGCCTACCTACCTCCGCAGGGGTGGTGGACCCATTAAAATGGTCTGCCCGAGGAGACTTATGGATCCAAATGGTTTTCTGATAGCTCTCAGGGATTTTCCCGCCTCCTTGGTAAGTAACCCTGTTGAGGCTCTGGTCTCTCTCTGGGACAGGGAGATGACCAGGGCTATAGACACAATCGCTCCAGAACGCCCCCTCTCAAGTAACCGAGCTCAACCAGCTCCTTGGTTCACTGAGGAGCTGGCAGCGATGAAGCAAAAGAAGAGGTGGCTAGAGCGCGCCTGGCGACAGAAGCGTAGCGGGTCAGTCCAAGCATGTCTAGTTTCCTTTTTAAGGAGCTATGATGCGGCAATAAAGGCTGCACAAAAAACATTCCTTGCAGCCAATATTGTGTCCACTAAGAACCGTCTGGCTGAGCTGTTCTGAGTTGTCAGAGGACTATTAAATCCACCTCAGAGCAAGATCCCTGACAACTCAGTAGATCGCTGTGAAGCATTTGCTCAGTTCTTTGCGGACAAAGTTGCACTGATCTATTCTGACTTTGATGCCACGGTAACAGCAGTCTCTGAGATTGTAACATGAGCACCTACTTCTCTGGTTTTAATGGATTCTTTTCAATTGGTTCAGCTCAAGGATGTGGACAAGATCCTTGGAGAAGCAAGGTCTATCACATGCATCCTAGACCCCTGCCCATCCTGGCTGATCAAAGAAGCCAGACGGGTTTGACAGAGTGGGTTAAGGTGGTGGTTAATGCCTCCTTACAGGAGGGCAAGATTCCAGCCAGCCTAAAACAGGCTGTTATAAAACCGCTGTTGAAAAAACCATCACTTGAACCCACTCAATTCGTCGACTATCGGCCAGTTTCCAATTTTCCCTACTTGGGCAAAGTCATGGAATGTGTGGTGGTTTCACAACTCCAGGGGTTCTTGGTAGACACTGATTATCTAGATCTGGCACAGTCTGGCTTTAGGCCGGGACATGGCACTGAAACAGCCTTGGTCGCCTTAGTAGATGATCTTCGCCGGGAGCTCGACAGGGGGAGTGTGTCCCTGTTGGTTCTGCTGGACCTCTCAGCAGCCTTCGATACCGTTACATCCCGAATAGACTACTGCAACTTGCTCTTTGAAGACGGTTCGGAAACTTCAGCTAGTCCAAAGGGTGGCAGCTAGATTACTAACTGGGGCGACATACAGGGAGCATACGACCCCCCTGTTGTGCCAGCTCCACTGGCTGCCAGTCCATCTCCGAGCCCAATTCAAAGTGCTGGTTTTGACCTTTAAAGCTCTATACGGTTCTGGCCCAGCTTACTTGTCCAAACGCATCCACCCCTACATCCCATCTCATAATCTAAGATCATCCGGGGAGGCCCTGCTCTCGCTCCCATCAATTGTGCAAATGCGTCTGGCGGGGACGAGAGACAGGGCCTTCTCGGCGGTGGCCCCTCGCCTATGGAACACACTCCCAAATGAGGTAAGATCTGCTCCCTCCCTCCTGGCTTTCAGAAATAAATTAAAATCATGGCTTTGGGACCAGACCTTCGGACAGTAGATGTTTGTAGAGTTTAAAGGACATGGACTAGAATGACAATACGACTGGCGAGACTGTTTTTATTATTTATTGTTTTAATGATTGCTTATGTACTGTCTAATTATGATTTATGTTTAATTGTGGTTTTATTATTGTGGTTGTTATGGATTGGCATCGCGTCAGTGTCCAATGTATGGCATCGAAGCTTTGCCAGTTTGAGTCCCCCTAGGGGTGAGAAAAGCGGTATAGAAATACTGTAAATAAATAAATAAATACTACTGTACAATATTTATCAGGTTTGGTGTACAATCTAGATGTGGTTGCATCAGAGATTTGGATTAGGTAGTGTAATACTGACAACTTCATTTTTGTGTTAGTGGCTGCTAACCAATGAAAATATTTTAATGAATCAGTTATCTGATTCCAAGATTTCAGTTGATTCAGTAAGCATAAATATAATTGGAGGTATCAAAATGTACTTGTACTTACTCAGTGTAAACTGAGTAATGATGACCTAAAATAGGTGCCTTTTTGATAGTTTAAATAAGCAAAACCCACAAGTCTTTGTTGGAAACAAAGGATTTTTATTTGTTTGTTTCCCTTTAATACATGAGAGTCAAAATAGCCTTAAAACTAAGGCCAGTTGCAGAGTGATACATCTGTCTCAGATGGAAAATTCTGGAGGGAGAGCAATATCCACATCTCAGATGTTCCTCTTCTTCCTCCTGCTACTAGCCTTTCTTCCAGGGCAGAGTTCTGTGTGTTCAGGATCAGCTGTCAAACCATCCCAAACTAATCTGCAGTTTTCAAATGTGGTAGAGACTCTTTTCTATTCCTGGAAGTGACATGTGGTTCAGTGCTCCATGTTCTTCCCTTGGCATGGAGGAAGATGCCATATTATTTCTGAGTAGGAAAAGATCTTTATTTGACTCTGAGAGGTTCAGAAAAACACACCTGGAGAAAAAGGTGCTGTTTCTTTTAATATACCAGAATGACAAATGTTCTGATAAATCTGTTTGCTTAATTTACACTTGAGTTATATTTAGAATGATCTCATAATATGAAGGATGTTACATTTCCTTACTGTTCTCTTTTTAAAAATTATTTAGTGCTGTATCTATGCATTCACAAGCTGTTCCATTGTTTTGGTTCAGAACCCAATTCCCTTTTCTCAGGTTTCTCATTATTTGCTTTCTTCTCTCTTAAAAATATCTGATGAGCTAACCTGTATTGGACCAAAGGCAGATGTAGGATTCAGTTCACTTCATAGTCTGCCAGGGGATTATGAGCAGGACTTCATTCTCTTGCCTATCTTTCCCCAGGAACCAGCATATGTTCCATCTGGTTGTTGTTACTGTGGGCCTTCAAGTCATTTACGCCTTGGGGTTTCTTTGGCAACATTCAGAGGGTCATTGGGAGAGTGCTATTTCTCTAAAGTCACCCAGTGTGTTTCCATGAGTTGAGTAGGGACTTGAACCCTTGTCATCAGTCAATGGTCAAACCGCTATATCATGTTGGCTCTGCACTGCCTTAGGTACTGGTAGATATTGATTGATGTCTGTTGAATTTTGGGATGGACAAATCTATTTTCGTTTTGATTAATTTTTCATCATTTCAGCTGAATGTTCATTTCCGCCTATATTTGTATCAGCCTCTGAATGCAGGTATATTTAGCAAACAGTTGCTCCTATTTTTTTAAAAATGGACACATTTTGGGTTAATTTCCTGTAATGTTCATATTTTACACAAACCTTTCCTAGTATGCAGTGTTTGCATACATTTCCTTTTTAATATAATGTCTGGCATTTTATTGGTTAGTATCTTTTGAGAGCTTACAGATACTAACCAGCCCTGTCATTAGACAAAATGAGATTGTGTCCTAATGCATCTGGTTTAAGATACCATGTCTGCATATGTTATGTCTGCAAAGTCTTTAAGTTGATGGGTTTTTCCCTGCCAAAAAAGAGAGAGAATCAAGGAATCTTCTATCTAAAATGCCAAAATAACTTGTTAAACTGTAAGTACTGTTTCTACTGTACCTCAAGCAGCAATATATCTTGTGTCAGACCTGCTTAGTGTGAATATGTTTATGTTGTACTTGATAAGGCTGATACGATTGTGCCCTTTTGCACTGCATGAAAGGTCTAGGGATA